CAGAGGGTGGCATAGCTTTTAATTTAAAATCATCCAGGAGAAGGGAAGACCTGATTGCTCCCAGATCCAGAATCCACAAATTACTGAACAGATGTATTTCACTTCCTTTTTCTTTCTCAAGGAAAGGGCCAATGGTACGTACAGGTTAACACTAATGAGGTTCCTACTAGTTGTGCAAAAAACTGACTAGCCTACCTTTCCTAGCTAGCTTGATGCATATGGTATAAGACTGGTTTGAATGATGTAGTGCTTAATTGTAAGATGAAACAGAAGACAGGGAAAAAAATCAACTCCATCCATCAAATACAATCTTGCAATGTGTAAATTTGCTCCCAGGTTGCTGTGAGGCTGAAGCTGCAGGACAGCAGGCTGGAGCACAGCTTAGAAGGCACATAATTCCCCAGCAATCAAAAACTAAAAGCAGCTCTTTACATTTCACAGCTCTGACGTGGTAATCCGACTGCAGATAATTCACTTGCACATCTAGACCCCTTTCCCAAAAGGACTCCAAGGTCACTGGTTCTGATATACAGTGGATCTGGTTGGTTTGTTGTACAATGGGAAATGCACTCCTGAACCCTAAGAGTCAAAAGGATTTTGCAGGTGAAGGAGTTTAAAGTTTCTGGGCAGCTTTAGGAGCACCTGTCTTCATTGCTTGATTCAGGAGTATACACCGATGTAGAATACTGAGCTAAATGTGTAATGCTGAAAGCTTGATTTTACTGAGTACATGCAGATGATGAGACCAAGTTCCACAGGTATCAAACCTGCTCAAAACAACACCCTTCTGCTTTGTGGACATGGCAGGAGCAGGGAAGCTGTCCTTTGAATGAATACTTGCAAATTCCAGACTTTGAGACGTGTTACTCATTACAGAGTAAGCACTTTCAGTGCAGGGACTGTCCTGACCTGCACTGGCCGCCACTCAGCACATTGTCAGCACTTAGCCTATTATGATAAATAAAGATGGGTTTGTCAATGCTGCAGAAAGAAACCTGAGCTTCCCATTTCTATTGCATCGGTAAAAACCTGGGAATTCAGATCTCTGAACTGGCTTTGCAAATCTCAGCATAAAATATATAAGTGGTGCCTGGAAAAGCCAGGCAGGCAGAATAAGTGCAAAAGATTATGCTTTCACTCAAAGTTAACAAAATTACTTCCAGAAATTTCCCTCAGTCTTAGATAACCATAAGCCCTTTCTGCTTCTCAGGTAGCTTTTACATCATCGTCATCAAAAGAAAATCTCAGCGATCATGTGGCGCTGGGCCACTGGTGATCCAATCCATGCTGAGATAAACAATGCTGTCTACACTGTATGAGCTGAAGGTAAAAGGCTGCTTCTCTTAAATAGCTCAGCTATGGTCACTGAAAGCACTCTGCTTCAGAAGTCACACAGGACCAATATGTATTCCATGGTGGGGAACAAGAGAAGTCAGATACATTCTAGTAAAGAGGATATTCAAGAGGCTAGTCAGTGTAGGAACAGCAGAAGCCAACTCTCATGTACTGTGTGCTTTACATGTTGCAATGTGTTTGAAGAACTAAGTGCAAGGGAGTAATTTGTGAAATCAGGCAAATATGTCCTGTATTAAAGTGGGACGATTATATGACTTAGCAGAGGCCACATAAGTCAGCAGCAGAATCAAGAAGATTCCCTATAGACTGTCTTATCTATGCAGGTATTCCTGCCCTTAAAATTTAGTGCGAAAATGACAAAGTCAACAAAAATTTTGCGTAAGTAAAGATTGCAGGATTTGGTCTAACCTGAAGTCTCACATCCTTTCCATTGGCTCCAGTGAATCACACAGGAGCTCCTAAGCTTGTTGTGCAAACCTTCATGAAAAGACACTGAAACCTTTTCATTTAGACGATGTTCTATAACTGACACTCTTGGGCTATGACAACTAATCTCTAGGAGGCAATGAAAGGCTTACCAGAAAATTTGGTTGAGGAAGTATAAGATTTATCTCTACCAACTCAAAGGGCTAAGTACTTAAGCCTATAACAGAACAGCCCTTAGAGAGCAGAATTTGTGGGCCCCTAGAATTTTCTTCTTCCTAATGACTCTCTGTGCTTCTTGCATGCTATAAAAACCATCCCTTTTTGCATTTCAGCATCTCTATTTCCTTTGATCTGTACACATTTCTCATTGATGCTAATAGAGAATGACACTGATGGGGAATATTTTTGCAACAAGGGGAGCATAGAATTGTTATTCTGGCTAAAGCAAAAGCAATATGACTTAAGCAGAGTTTTTAAAAGGCTTTACTCAGGGCTGTGCAATTGAACATGATACTAGGCTTTATCCTTTTTTTTTTTTAATTTTCATTGAGATTATGTCCATATTTTATCCAGGTTATTGTATTCTTGTAAAATTATACTGCAACCCACTCTAGCACGTTAACAACAAAAGAAATTCTCTAGCTTATTATAAACATCTTTCAAGAAACCAGAAGCACATGTCCTCTGGAAATAATTTTGCTGGTATTTAGGTTATTACAAAAAATTTCCCAAAACACTGGAATTATTTTGTAATGTTCCTTTATACTCTAGCTTGTTTGCTTAGGTTTTCTGGAACATTCTCCTGGTGCCCCAGTGTGGTACCTTCCTTGGGTTGCGCAGGGAAACTGCAGAAGTAGTCCAGAAACTCAGCAATATGAGTCTGTCTTTGCAGCAATGATTACTTAGTAACCATGTGCCATCAATGAAAAAAGACCTAGTGCAGACACCATCTGTGCAATAATTACAGTTGGAAAGAAAAAATTCTTTTATCCTGCAGAGATTTGGCAGGATGATGATAGTATTTTTTTGCCCCAAAGCAGACTGAAAATTTAAAATCTGAGAAATGTTTGAGAACTAAAAAAAATGGGGGGGCAAATCAATAAAATGTTTCAATTAGATGAATTTGATGTCTTTTTCTCTGTAATCATTACCATTTTGTATCTTTGTTGAAACTTCTTTTACTTCAATTACTTTAAGTTCCTCACTGAAAAATCATTTAAAAGGAGAAAAATTTTTTTTTTTTTTGAGAATACTAAAACATAGGAGTTTAACCAACTCTGTTGTAAAGGGAGGCAAGAGGAACAGAAATGGGAAACAGCTCTGGTGTGTGTCCTGCTTGGCTTCCGAATGTGCCTTATAGACTGACTTGGGTTTAGTTTACTTTGCCCTTCAAAGTATTGCTAGGTGAGTTTGGGTCTTGAAAATCCTTTGGATAATATCTGTTGGATTACTTTTTGACTTAAAACTAGCTCTCATCCATAGATCATGTATTTTCTGCAGGCTGCGATGTCTTTCCAGGTACACTCTGAGGTGAAATACGAAAGGGAAAAGAGCAGAGTCAGACTCTAGTCCGACAGCAAGGCATTAAAACAGAGTCTGCTGGCTGCACGCAGCGTGCGGATCCTTAGTCACACTAGGGAAAACAAAGCTGATTTCATTGTTTGAAAAGGCTTTATTCCTGCTCACCTCCAAATAGTTTGAATGTTGACTGGGGTTGCACAGCAGGAAGGGAAGAGCAGTTATTTGTGGCCCACATCCTTGGATTTCTTCCAGAAAGAAAAAGCATCTGGAAACAGATTTACCTCAAGTTCAGCACGTGTTGATGTGCTTTATTGACCTGCAGGAAGAGTCCGAGTGCTTTAACTGATGAGAGCTTTTCCTCAGAGTGCTGAAGACTAACTGATTTCTGATGGAGCCGCGTGCCTAGGCACAGTGATTCCCAGGGTGTACGGCAAAGGGTGGCTGCCATCCCCTGATGCCAAGGGGATCCCTGTCTTTGTCCTCTCAGCATAGCTTTGGCCTGACGCAATTACCTACATGGATATAAGTTTTTTTCATGGACTTCTAAAACTTTACCTCTTTCTCTACTGAAACCTGACCTGTATGACCAGAGCCTGGCCAAGATGCAATCCCTGCAGAACCAGCAGAAGCGAGGTGCGCTCAATATCCAAGCAGCAGTATTGCCTAAGATTTTAGCTGAGTTGTTCTGAAGTTACATGCCATTATGCCCAGGTATCCTGGGTTGTACCCTGACCATGCTTAAAAGGGCAGAGGTTATTTACTGACAATTGGTGGGAAGGTTCCCAATTCTAAGCCTCAGCTGAAAGTGAAGCCATCACAGAGGCTTTCGGGTTATTCACAGGGCCTAACTTCAGGCTCCCACCTTCACCTATTTTAGGGAGTTAGTCACTCTGGGCTCTCTCTATTGCCAGAGAAGGGAGAAAGGATCCCCAAAAGGCAATTAAGAGCATCTAGTCTGAATTAGTAGGAGCATCAGCCTCCACTCTAACTCATCTCTCTTTCTGTTGACTGTATAGGGAGCCTAGGAGACCAGCCTCTTTATATAGGCAGCTGAAAATAGTTGGTATAAAACTCTGTCTTTATTACCCCTGGATGTCTTCTTGTCCAGGTATTGCTTCATTACTAAAGAAGAGGAAACATCTCTCCATCTATTTGACTTGCCTGGTGAATATCTGCAGGGGGTTTTTTGTACAGAAACTCATATTCAATAGAAACTGCCATATGAGTTTTGCTTTTCCTTAACATGAGCTATACACATACAACTCATTCCTGCAACTTCAGTTATCCCTGACTTACATCACAGTAGGGCAGAAACAGGTCCCCCATTTCTGACCTGAAAAGTCTCAAAAGCAGTGTGACAAGTGCAGCTGTGAGGCTGTCAGCAACTGGTATTTTTTCCAAAGCACCAGCTGCCAGAAGCATGTGAGAATCAATAGCAGGTTTCATTTAAGAACAGACTAAATTTGTAGATACGATGACTGCTAGAAAGCTGGAAAACATAATCCACTGTAACCTAATGCTCAGAATAAAAAGAGCCAAGACAATTCATCACTTGAAAAAGTATTACTTAGAAAAAAAGGACTTGTACAATTTTTAAGCCAATTTATAGTTTCTGAACCTAGAGTTCTGGCAACATTACAGCAATTGTATTGAGAGAGAAGAATATGGAGAAAATAATGTCATAGAAAATTACTTACCAGCATCAATTTTCTTTGAGGCTTCAAGAGCTTGGGCTTAGGAAAATTATTGGCTATTGGAGCTATGGAAATAAATATTAAGGGATCATTTCATATTATCATCATTCACTGTCATTTTTAGTATATACATTAGCAATTTATAAATTACAGATTAATAGCAGATTAGGAGCAAATACATGTACTTAAACCAGAGTTTAACTGTATTTCAGGTAACGTATTTTACAATGAAATATAGGGTTTATGAATTAGAAAAATTCATAAGATTAAAGAATCTGATATGCAAAATATGCTGTTTGTGTGCAGAAGGCAGAGCAAATAGACCTTGAGATCTGGTCACTTGTGATCTAATGCACAGTAAACCTTCGGGTCCTTTCCCTCCTCTATCCCAGTGGCTCAGCATTGGCCGTAGTGTTCAGAAAGTATGCCCAAGAGTTTGTGTGATTGACCCTGGAGGCAATTGCAAATCCTCTTTGAAAGTGAGGTTTGGCAAAAGGTTGGTCTTTATTTGCTCAGCTTGCTTGACTTCTCAAGTGCACCTGCAATTTTAAGAGTGCAATGTGCTGGCTTCTCTCAGTCTATCCCCAGCATGACATTTCATCTTGCCTAACTTTAATTTTCTCTTTGAGCAGGGTGAATATTGCTACAGAGGTTCCTCCCTCTTCTCTGATTAGTGGGAGCTGACACCTCTTGCTTGGACTCGGTGACCAGCTTTTCAATATCTAAAGCTGTAGAGAGGTGAGAGCCTGGTCCCAGCAGCAGGCACAGGCCACTTCTCCCCACACCGATGGCAGCGAGCGCAGGTCGCCCCACAGGCACTGTCAGCAGCAGAGCGCAGGAGTCCTGATGTCCCGCGCTCTGCTGTCCCTCCGTGGTTGTGCTCGGGATTTGAAATACCTCTGCATGTCTGTTTTCGTACCTTTTGCTGGGATGGCTGGTGGCAGCTCCACTTTCTCTTTCTTTTTCTTTACCTTCTTGGGCTGTAGAGGGGACATGCTTGTCACACTGGTAACTGTCTCCCCTGAGCTGCAAAGCAGAGACTCATAGGTGAGGGAAAAGTGAAGGCAATGGAGGGAAAGACAGTTTGTCTCAGTGAGTTCATGCAAACACTTCCCCTTCCACTTGTAAGAGTCCCTGCCCAACAACTTGGATTTTGACATGGAGGTATACTGAAAAACCTCTTACAGGGGTTGGAAATGCTCTGGGTATTGCATTTCTTCAACCATACAGCCCAGCTGAGAAACTCAGAAATTTGATCTGTCCTGGCACAGAAAATGCAAAGTGTCAGGTTTAAACAAGGCTCATTTCATAGCACCTATTCCTTAAAAATAGGTATGACCCCACTGCTGCGCCCAGGATGAGCTTGTACCCTTCTGTCCTTGAGGGCCAGAGGCTCAGATGGGTTAAGTGACACACAGAAAGTGTATGGCAAAGCAAAATCTTCGATGTGGTTTCTGGGCTAAGACTGGCTGAGGGGCCAGAAGGCCAGGAAAGTGTGCAGCATGCCTTCAGACAGCTCACAGACCCACATTTGAAAAGAACAGCCTTTTAAAAGAGGCTGGTGTGCTCAGTGCATCTAAAATGGAGGAACTGTGCCCTGACCTCTAAACTCGGGCATTCTCTAGTACATCCATGCTGAAAAAGCACCAGTAGGTATGAGGGAAGAGTACAAGCTGTATTGTAAACAGACTCCTGTCCAAGAAAGCTTCTGTGTTTGGACTATTACAGTTCAAGATCTTCTAAGTCTGAGTTTTTTACCCTCAGCATCTCCCAAAGTCTGAGGCAGTATATCCTGCTTTCAACAATTAGGGCTTGGATACGCAGCCAGGTTGCAGCGATTGTCGCCATGTGTCAGCTGAGCTGTGGTAACCAACTGTGCAGGTGCTCCTAGCTTGCAACTAATGTGAAATAGAGTTGTATGGGCTTAACTGGTAATGAAAGAAATCTTAACTTACAGCTGGGGTGGGAGGAGAGTGTATAGCAGTTAGTTATGATGACTACGGTGGTGGAGGTGACTTGGGAAGCAGTTGCTCAGATGCATCTGACCATGGGCTTGCCCTAGGAAAGATTACCGCAGTATGGTTGTGGGGACCTTTCTGTTCTGTGCCGGTGAGTTACACCACACAACAGGATCCAACCAGGGTCTCCATAGTCATAACACTGACAACACTGAATTCACTGAATTGTAAGTCATTTGTCCCAAGTTGCTGTTCCTCTCCAGGTTCTTTTGCATAATGAAACATTCTCGTTATATTAATAAAATAAAATATCCAAACTGGGCCAAAGTCTTAATGAAAGTTAAGATGTCTCTGCTATTGCCCACACAAGAACAACAAAATAACAGACATTATCATTTTACACAGCTGTAAATCCAAATGAATGTCACTACCATTGGTAAAATCGCTCTGGATTTAGACTAGTGTAGATTACAAAAAGCCTCCAGTTTGCTGATTTTCCTGAGTTCTGTTCCATGTACTCAGTCCAAAACATAGGTTTGCTGCCAAACTTTTTTTGAAGTGTTTAAAAGGTAAAGTATTTTCATGATTTATAAATACATCACATCAATTATGTAAACTGAGGGTTATATTAAAGTAATTTCCAAGTCTGCCTGCACTATTGTGAACCTATCCCACAATAACCATTTGTTTCTATATTAAAATCAAAACATGAAATTGTTTAAAACCAGCAGGAAATGAAACTGTCCAGCCTAGCTCCATTGCCCAAACACAGCAAACTGCAAAGAACAAAGAATACCAGAAAGGGGATGAGAATGATTTTTTTAATGTTTTTTGTTATAATGATCCAAGGTCATTAAGGCAGATGTGTAGCTTAAAGATGCTATCATTCTGATACAGCTACTTTAAGCACAATATATGTGAAGGCTTAGTGTCAATTCATTGCATTAGTTATTATTCCTGCTTTGTCACTGAAAAAGTGAAGCTACAGAGAGATGTATTTGTAGCTTACACTTCTTTTAAATGCCAGGGCCTTACAGGGTTAACTGGGAGATACAATAACTGTACTTGCTGTCTTAGAACTGAGCTCCTCAAACCAAACAAGGAGGCTCAGAAAAGACTCCTTGGCTCCAAAACACTGCCTCTTTGTAAGCTTGTCTTGTTCTATGTCTAAAAGAAAAGTTAGGTTTTTATCTCCAGCTCCTCCTCCAGCCTCCTGGCTTCTATTTCAACAGTGTCACATTATGCATTTCTTGAATGATCTAATGAGTTTTTAGAGAGAAAGAAAAAGACAGGAGTTTTGGGGAAAAAACCTGTGGAAGGTGTCTAACAGTCATGGCACCAGGACAGCAGTTTCCCTGGAGGTCATGTTTGGTATTTGTCGAAAATACTGTCCCAAGAGCTGGCAAGCTACTGTATTTTTGGGCTTTACTATCCTTATTAGAGTCAAGGATGTGGGACTTTTTGTGTGGTTGTATAGGTCAGCTAGTCCCTCTTGTCTGCAGGGGGATGACAAAAAATTCACCCAGGTGACCTGGGAGCTGCTTTGATACTTTCCAAATAGGGGCGCTGTGTGAGAAGGTGCCAGGGGAGGACTGGGTACTTGCTTCTGGTTCAGCCTGGCAGAATTTGCTCCTTGCCATTTGATCGGTACTGTGGAACCAAGGCATGAGACGGACAGCTTTCTGAGGTGAACACTTTTTTCACCTCAAGTTATTTGTCTCCAGAAGAGCAGTCGCTGAAGGACTGGAGAGTTCAGGCCAAAACAAATAAATAAAAGACAGAAGAAAGAATTCCTGTTTTCAAAGCTACACCTCCTGGGGGTTTCTGGGTCTGAAAACTGACAAAATGAGCTAATAACAAGGAAGATAATAAGAAGGAGGATATTTAAAGAAAAGAAAACCCCAGAAAATAGAATTAGGTGGTTTGGAAAACCCAAAATAACTGTACTTTTTATTTGGGTATTTATTTTTCAAATGTGGGAAAGAGATGGGTTTTGGTAAACTCATTTTTTTCCTTAATTTTTTATTGGTCAAGTAGCAAACCAAAACCCAAACATTTGCTTTGTTCTACTCAGGAAATCTGGATTTAATTTTCTTTTCTACCAAGACCATTTTGTGAGACCTGGGGCAAATCACTTAGCCCTTTGTGCTTCAGATTCCAATTAAGTAAAAACACCATTATGATGTCAAGACATGAAACATTTTAAGATGCTTAGGTATTACTGCAGTGGGAGTACAGACACTTCTTAGACACCGGACTATTAATGTAATTTTGAAACTGGATTCTGCTCTGAGTTTGAAATATCACTAAGGGAATTGGAGCTGAGCCTCTCTAATCAAGGCTGAGTTTTGCACAGCGTAGTCATTTTGACTGGCAGGAATCTCACACAAATTAGTTCATCGGTTTGGCCTAATGGCTATTTAGACACTGGGTTTTGGGTCTAAATGTGTTGAATTAAGTTCCAGGACAAGGAATGTGCAGGTGAATTGAGTTCAGGGGGATTAATGGTTTGTGTTTTGAGCAGATGGTGGAAAATAAATGGTACCAAGTGTGAAACATAACAAAAATGATGACACTGGTACCGTTTTCACAGCTATTTAATTTTAAAGCCCTGAAGTCAATGCACTTCAGACATACATTTGTGGGATCAGGGCTTTCATTAACGTAACTTGCCACACTGAAATATATGAAAACTTATTTTTATCCATATAGAGTCATGCATTTCTTTCACTTCTGGAGACTCCATTTTACAGTGAAGAAATCATGTTAGCTTGTTTTCCCCCTGCTATTCAGCCTCCTAAGTTTAGTGTTGGCAGTAGTATTACTACCACATCATGTATTCCCAGAGAGGCAGATTCTGTATTACAAGTCTTTTTATCTGACTGCCATGCTCCATTTTTTCAGTCATCTTTCCAATTGGGTCTCATTTTTCTCCTCTTCCTGTGTCCTCTACCAATCTACTTTGATTTCCTCCCCCTCCCCCTTCTTTTTTTTTGTTTTTGTAATTCCAACTTTGTCCCAGCAACTAAGAAAGAAGGGGAAAGAGAAAACAACCAGGGAAAAAAGAAAACTGCTGAGCTGTCTCTAAGTTTTTGGTGTGGTGCAATGGCTGGTCAGGGTCACAGAACAAAGATCTTTCCATGAATAACATGAAAGTTTCAGTTTGTACTGGCCTCTCCTGAACTCTGTTGCTTTGTTGTGACTTCACTTACATCTGAGTGTCGGTTAGCTTGAATACAGCGATAATCCCATGAGAATGCATTAAAAATTACACTATTTGAGGATCTAGGATATGCTATACTTGGCATTGAATCTCATAGTATCTAAAAAGATCCTATGAGAAATAGTATCTGTGATACCAAGTGGTACTGGATTTAAACTACAAGGCGAGAAACACATGTTTTATGTCACTGAAAACTGGGAAACAGCTGTTCTTCTGTGTTGTTATGAGGCATCCCTCTTTAATCTTTTTTGTTTGTAAAATACTTCTGTCATCTTTTTTTTACTGCAGTTCCAGCACAATTTATATCTCAAGAAGGTCATACAATGGAAATCACTTTTATCGCACCACACAATCAAAAACTTTTGGCAGCCAGTGGTATTTAAAGGGACAGTGATTAATGACTGCAACAGAAGTAGAGTTTTTCCCATCACTTGGAGTCTTCAGCTGGGAATACACCGTGGGCCTAGAAAATCTGCCTTTGAGCCCCACTCCCTGTTTCTGGGTGCAGGAATCACTGCGTAACATTGTGGTTTGTTTTATGTACATGGATGGTTTAGGTCATTATCATCTGGTGATGTGTTGGGAAACCCTAGAAAGCTACACAGGATGAAAACAGGCTTCTCCAGAGAGCAATTCAGAGCCTCAAGGAGAGGCTTGTCACTGAAGCGCCTGCAGGACCTACAGCTAGATAGCCCAGGTAGATCTCCCTTATCATGCACAGCAGATGTTGGCTTGCAGGCACGTTCATGACTCATGGACCTGGAACTCTTCATCCTCCTGTAGACTTTTGGAAAACATTACTCATCTTCAGCATACATAGCAAAACAAAACCAGAACTGGTGCCTTGGGTTATAGTAAAAAGAAGTGTAATCTCCTACCTGTTCTGGGGGCATTTCACCAGGTAATGCTTCACTGTTAAAGGAAAAAAAAAAAAGAAAGAAAATGTGGCTTCACACCAACACAGTTTATGAGTTTATGGGCACTGCAGATAGACCTGTGTTGCTAAGACTGTGGAGTTGCCAGGTTCTTACACTGGGAGAGCTGCTAATTGTCACATACATTATATAGTGCATTAAAATGTAGTCTGACTCAAAGACATACCTAGGCTTGAGAAAGGGGGAAGTATCAAACACCACCAAAAATCTTCTGTGGAAGGCCTGCGCAACACACATTCCAGTGGTCAGCCCAGCCAAAAGACCGCTTGCTAAGGAAAAGCACAGCAGGCCAGTAATTTTACTTTGAAGACTTTTATTTCCCTTGTGGTGCCTCTATTTATTTCCAGAAGCCTGAAATAAGCCATTCACCCACAGGAGCCAGTGCTGTTCCTAATGTAAGCTAGACTGTGGCCTCAGGCATAAAGGGATTGCCTCCTGGGATTGGATCAGATGTCCAGTCCAGCCACTAGCCTGTCTCTGACAGCTCTGTGTGTGAGCTGTATAAATCCTCTGGCTTCGTATTCCTTTGAATCAGTAGTCCTGAGCAAGGGCAGCTCCCCCCACCCCTAGCCTTTTAGGAGCCAGGGTTATTAAGATGCTCTTTTGTGGCTTAGTGGGTTCTGTGCCCTGCCTGAGCTGTGCCGCACGCTGAGTGCAGAGACATGCAGGCAGGAGGAGAGGCTCTGGCTCTTCTGGTCAACATACTGCCAACTTACTTCTCCAAAGGAAAAGAGGGTGCATCCCTGGGCCATGACGTGAAGTTGAATACAGCATAGACAGCCACCTCCCTTCATGTTCTCCGTTCTTCACAATGCCATGAAAACCAGACAACAGTGCACTCACATGATTATGCCCCTCTCTACAGGAAAGTTTTCATATTTGGTCTTAGCTAAATTCTCCCATTCTAAGGAAGCTACACATCTCCTACGGGGGGTGCATTTTAGGCCTTAGGAAAGGGGAGCTGAGAGCACTAGGAACTGGGCCTGATACAGGGGCCATGTCTAAGCCAGCCAACGCAGTGCTTCCCTCTATCTGTCTGGCCTTTTCAGATGTACAGGAGAACAGTAGGCTTGACCCTTTGAGAGTAAGGGGATCCTCATGTACATTTTTTACATGCTTTGGAGCATCTCTAGGTATTTATTATTTTATTTTGTCCTACAGTAAATACTCCAAGCCTTTGAACTAGGGATTGGGAAGAGCAACCCATCCTGTAACAAATGGGCATAGGCTTCCACCAAAACCACAGAGGGGTTGCCAGCTGCAACTATTGCTGCTTCCCACAGCATCCCATAGCTGCCCTGTGCTATGGGCCAGCCCCAGCTGCAGTGCCAATACAATCAAACCAAGGGAGCTCCTTTGGTGAGGAACCGGGGTCAGTACTGCCCTTCTCATGTCAGATCCCTGAGGTGAGCCAGGATCTGCTCAGGGTTGGGTTGGGTTGGGTTGTTGTGGGGTGGGGCAGGATGGGATGGAGTGGGGCGGGGCAGGGCAGGGCAGGGCAGGGCAGGGCAGGTGATCCTCCTTGTGGTATTAGGGCTGAGGAACTGGGGGAGGAAGCTGGACTGATGGGAGAGTGGAGGGAGCTGTTGATGTTCCTGTGTTAGGGATGGGGTGACTGGAGAGGTTCAGGGAGAAGCCCTGATGAAAATTTGCAGAGCAAGATGAGGTAAGGAGATAGTTTTGGTTGTCCTGGGCCCCTAACTGGGTCTTAAGGGGAAGAGCAGAGCCACGCTTCTCTTGAAGGACCTCTGAGGAAGATGATGTGGCAACCACCTCACTGAATGTGGAAGAAGGCTGTGCCTGGAGCCTGCCTGGAGGCTTGGGGTGATGCAGAGGGAGGATGGCTTTGCTGTCCCTGTCTTTTCTCCTTTCCTCAAGGAATGATGGACTTCATGATTTCACTGCAGGCTCTTTTCACATGAATACTAGCGTCTGCCTAGTCCAGCCCAGGATGGAGGTACAGAGTGCTGAGGATGGAGAGGAGGTAAGATAACGCTTTTTGAGGAGCAATGCCTTATCCAAACAGTCTGAATGAGAGAGCATTGCTGTTGGCTGGCAGGGTGTGTATCTTGTGGTCAGATCCTAACCCCTGGAAGGTGCCTCTGGAGGGTGTAGAGGAGTGTTGAGGGAGGAGAGGGCTCTTTGTGCCCCATGCCTATATGGCTGCTCCCTGGGGCAGAGATTCAGGGCTGAGCCTGCTGCCATGGCCCAGACGTGGTGGGGAGAAAAAGCAATACGAGGCTGGTGGGGACTGTGTCTGTCACTGATGCTTCCTCTGAGATTTTAATTCCCTGATGCTTGACTGGATGCTGAGCCAATTAATGTAGCTCTGGAAAACACTCTGATCAGGTGGTCCTAGCTGAAAGACTTGCCTGAAAATCTTATCATTGTATATTGAGTGCCTATCTGCTAAGCTTTATTCTGTTTTATTTCCATTGAATCCATAAGTTTAATTCTGCCAGTGCTTACTGGATAATGTTCAAAATCTAAATAAAAACTTGGTGAAGCCTGCAATTATTCAGGCATTAGGGTAGTGAAGAAAGGATTTAGCATCTCAGAAGAAATTACTTTTTCTCTGTTGTATATGCTTATTCTGTATTGTATTCTATATTATTTCTATATTTAACTGCTGCTGGTTCAATGTAAGAGACCCTTTCTCCAAGCTGCTTGTACTCTTACACCGTAAGTGTAAATCACCAAAACCAGAAGCAAAATCTAGCCTGATGTCTGCTTGAGAAAAAACAGGACAGATCAGTGTGTCTAGTACTTGTGGTTTCAGGGTGATTCACCATGACCAACATACTTAAGTGTGGGTACTCCCTTGGCACAAAACCTTTGTCGTCACTTAACAGGGTAGGAAGAATAACATCAATCTTGCTCCTTCTTCTTGGCAAGCAGAGTTGTTAAGCTCAGTTAGAATCAGAGTTACCCTACTGAGCATGCTACCGGGAAGATGGAGCCACAGCCTAAAATGTGTTTGTGGTCAAGCAAGGACTTCTGTGTACATCTGTTTTTGGCTTAAGTGTCTTCTCCCTCATGTATCTGAGTCACTCGTTCCTTCATGGTACATGTGTAGTGCTGAAGAGGCAGCAAAGTCATGATTCTCTCCTGTCATTACAGGACAAATCGCTAACCAAACTCCTTCTGAAAGCTTCTGTTCAGAGATGGTCCTTATGCTCTCCTCTAAGGTGGTGGCTGCTAAGCATGCTGGTATCTCATCCTCACAACTTGTGCGAGGTGTCCAAATAAACAACTCTTAAACTGAAATGAAAGTAGAGCCTGCACTGGCTGCTCTACAGATCTGAAATAGCACTTTTGATTACAATAGGGCTGCTTTCATGCAGGTTTAGCCTCTCTGAGGAAGAGAAAAATGAAACAGTAATCCTTGATCTTGAAAGATTATGCTGAAAATTCACATCTGAATGATGAAATGATGCTTTAGTTTCAAAGAATGCTACAAAGGAGAGAGTGCTAATAACCCCTGTTTTCCCAAGAATATTGACAGCTAGTCAGAAAGGGAGAATAAAACAGAAGACAACCACTTTGAAACACCTTTAAACTTGTCTGTAGAAATGTCATTCATACAAAGTGTTAGCTATATCTGGTCAGAACACAATTCAATAATACAGCACTTGGTCATCTTTGAAAGAAGTTCCAACAACCTTCAATTTATGTTTATGCAAAATTTTATGAAAATTTTTGAAAAGCCCAAAGCAAACTTAAAGTGAAATATCTATTCAAAGGGAGCAAATGCCTGTGTTCTACTTTTGCTGGCAGAAATAGTCTTTTCTACCAATAATTTTTTTTGTTAAAATCAAGGCAAGGAGATATTTGTCTTCCCTGCATTTTCTACATTGTCCTTCTCTCCCTCTTTGGTAAGGGCCTTGCAGTCAGCAAGAATGAGATTTCACTCACCTGTGGATCTCCTCTTGTTCAGGAGTGACTGACAGAGAATGACAAGTGTAAAAAGGAGAACACTGATGATTCCTATTGAACATACAAAGACTGCGTACACATACAGATCTGAAAGCCAAGCACAGATGATGGTCAGTGTTGCAGCTGTATGCTTCATACTTACAGGATAGAAAAAAGTTATGTCTACAAGATCTAGATAGACCGTGGCCCAAAAGATTTAGGGTAACAGTTCAGTAGTAATTTAATCCTCTTGAAACTTTCATGCAGTATCCTGCTCAGTTTGAAATTTGTTTGAAGTCTCCATAAATGCAAACAGGTGTAGTTACAGGGGCTTGCTTTCAGGAGAGGGGAGAGGGCTGGCTTGGGTTTTTTTCTCTTTTCTTTTTTCCTTTTTTTGGTGGGGCAACCAAAAACCAAAAGGACTTCAGTTGGATTATTTCCCAGTCCAAACAGCTGTACTGTACAGAACAGTACGGGGGCGGGGGGGTGAGGGATAGTGGCAATGGGGGGAGTGCTGAGTAGCTGAGGAAGAAGGAAGAAAGTCTATGATTGCTGCTTCTGGTGGCAGCACTGGCTTGAAATTTTTGTTGGGCTTTTTTATTTATTTTTCAACCTACTGCCTCAGTCTCCCTTTATGGTTTTTATTCAGGTGCTGTAACACATTCCCACTGGAGCTGACAGGAGTTGTACCATGGCAGATCAAGATGGAGTATTTTGTTCAGAAGGAGAAGAAATCTTTAATGACTTATTTCTGCTTTTACTAGAGCTAGAGTACTTTAAGGATACTCTACCCATTAATGTCTTGAAATGTCCTTAGGGAGGTATATTGCCTTCTTTCTTGCTTCACAGAGAGGAAACTAAGCCTCAGAGGGCAAGTGTTCTTGTAGAAAATAGCATTGCTGGAACTAGACCCCTGACCTGCAGTTCTGTGCTTTGTTCCCCTTAGACGGTACAACAATATAGTTTGTAAATTGTGGTTTAAACAGTAAGGCTCCCCACAGAATCAAGGCCAGCCTGCGAGCGAGCACTCCACCTGGCAGGCAGCACAGCAGAGTGTCTGCGAATGCCATGCTGGTGTTCCACTGGCGCTCCAGATTGGGGCAGGAGGGAATCCCAACTGCCTGCAAATTCTGGATTTCAGTCTCCTAGACCAGTTGTTCACTAGTCTATGCAGAAAATACTGCTTGCCTTGAAACTCAAGGGAGCTTTAGGCTGCTCTTGCAGTGCAGAGCATGTCTGGTGAGCAGTTTCTAATGCTAGTGGGAGTGCAGAGTGCTTGGTACCTCTTCAGACACACTCAGCACCTTCTGGGGTAAGGGGGTTATTTGAATTGCGTGATTAGCCAGGCTTAGGTTATTTTCATATTGACCATAACAAACATATGAGAAACCGAAAATGGAGCCTTCCACTCTCTTTTCTCCAGCACATCTTGTACTCTTCGGGATGCTTTCTCAGGCAAGACATGAGTTTGCCCAGGAACTAACAAAATTGGGCCTGATTGGGGCACTTTAGTTGTACTGTAGCACCGAACTAAAGTAACATCTTGTATACAACCAGTAGCAATTAGATGTATCTTTACCTTCAAAAAATTTCCAGGCTTCGTGGTTTTTCTTGAAAGTGGGATCATCAGAAGATTTTGATGAAATCACTGAAAAAAAACCAAAGATGACATGACAAGAACTGAAAATGTGTGGCATAAAATGTTGGGACCTCTTGAAGTAAATGTAGTTTTCCCTTAGACTTCAGTGGACCAGGATCTTGCTTTATATCACAGGATAATTACCTTTCAATGAAACACTTCAGTGATAAAACAGCATTATAAAAATGTTTTCCAGCAAATCTCATCTGGCTTGGCACCCCTAATGAGTGCTGTATGGCTTGTGAGACTGCCTCCCTGTTGTCATCTTATTCTGGGAAGGTGCAATGTGTGGCTCTTCAATCAAAAAGTTAAATGCAGTGAAGTACAACAAAGAGGATAGAAACATGCTTTAGAAGAGCCTAGACCTTAGAATAGGGTGGCCATGTGCTTGTAAGGTCTGTAATGGCATTGTGGGAGTTGTCTCAGTATTCCGGGGAAAAAGCTGCTGCTATTGCTATACGTAGCTAGTTTTATTCTGATTCTGTGTTCTCAGTTACCCAGAACTCATACCTCTAGGGTTGCAATTTGTGTTTCTGTCTCAAAACAGGCTACTTCTGAGACAGGAGAGGAACAACTTTTGCTCAAGAGAACGGGAATTTATTTTCCCTTGTATTTATATATTAAGAAGGATTTTTTAACACTGTAGTCTATTTCTAAGTCTTAGAGGTTAAGGGGGAAAAAAAAATAACTGGAAGAGCAGCAGGTTTACTGAAGGACACACCTCTGAAGGCTTCCTGGGAATTGACTTGGAGCCAGCCACACTAGGCACAGCTTTTTTAAAAAACAAGAAAGTCGTTCTAGCAGTGCTTGGCACTGAAGTATTTCTGCCAGTACGATTTCCCCACCTTCAGGACCAACTCTGCAGGCCCTTGATTTTGTCCAACCTGCCTTCCTTCCAAAGCTCTTGTGGATGTCCCTTGGCTTGTTGAACTGCCCTGCAATTCCTACAACAGCATCCAAATAACCCATTAAAGAGGGAGCACTGCTCATGAGTTATTTTTCTTCTTCCTTCCTTCAGAAGTTGGCTTCTATGCTGTGCCTTTTAAAGATACATGGTTATGACACCTGCCTATCTGCAAAAAAGCCACCCATGCACGCATGAACTTTCTGAAGCATGTCCAAATGCTTTAGAAAGCGTATATCTGAGCTGGGAAGGAGAACACATCCACTTACCCTTGGTGTTCTTGGCTTGCATGTAGGAACAGATTAGCCTGAACATCTTAATGTAAACTGCTCTGTCACTGCTGTATCAATGGTCACTGACTGAATGCAGAATAGCTTAAATTCTCAGTCGGAGTAATTCCCCTGCCTATAGGTGGGGTTTGTTTCCCTGAGAAGGAAGACTGCATGACCACAAGTTGTACCAGCTCACCTTTATATCCTAGAAAAAGGGCTGACTGACTATGTTCTAATTCAAGTAAGAGGGAAAATAGCTGCAGATTTTGCACAGAATTGCATGCTCTGTTTCAGAAAGAGGAGCAGACTACAGAGCTCTGGGCAAATGGATGAATGTCAATGCAATAACAGCTGTACAACCTCGTACTAGAATCCAAATGCTCTGACTGCTGGATTGCTGTTCAAAACCCTCTCTGCTCTCCTCAGCCAGATTATTTATACATGCTGACATTTTTTGATGACATCAGATTAGCTGATCTCACTTATAATCCATGATTTTTTTCTGCTAGCAATCATTGCAATGGAATAGGAGTCTGGTGATATCCCCAACATTGCCAATGAGGTCTGAACCCCCTTCTTACTGGAAAGGTGATTCATTAAGGAGTGTCCTGTAGGGATATGAGGTGTGGGACTAACTCAGTGGATATGGAGCTGCTTTCAGGGCTAATGAAATCTGTTTAGTTGTGATGGGAAGCTTATCCTGAATATTTTAACAAATCTACTCATTTGTTACATGAAAGCATGATACATGTAGATTTTTGGCAAGTACTTTAGAATACCTTCCCTGAAAAAAAGGGCTTTTGTTCATCTTGGCGGAGAGAGGGGGAAATCTTGCATTCCTGTATCTTGCAACGTTTTTACCATTGGAAAATGCCACATGAAACGAATACTTAATAGAATTCAGACTCAGTTCTGTGGGGAAACTCTGACACATAAGCTTCTTAACAAGACAGATTGTTGTAATCACCTCTACTTGTTTGTGTTGTCCATGCCAGTAGGATTATAGTTGGACTGTCTAATTTTCTATGTTTGGCCTCCTACATATGTAGTCTTTTCTCTTGGATTGTAAACCATGTGGAACATATATTGCTCTTCCTAAGAGATGTGCAGTACCTTGCATAGTGGGCTTGAGGGATTACCCAACTGTAAATGATGGCTTGGAGGTGCTGCATATTGTTCTGAGAAGACTACTCACTATCCTGAGTTTTCTGATAGGAAGGCAGTGGGAGAACCATCTTTCTGATTACTTTTTTTCCTCAAATAAACTGTTTTCTGGGGTGTTCTGTACTATAATGAAGATCACTAACTTGGTTTTAGGCTAGCATTGACCACACAAGCCCAGGAAAAGAACAGATGCCTTTGATAAGAAGATGGGGAAGGGGAAAAGATTCACCTTAGCTTAAAGCGAAGATGTTGCATGGCTGGAGTAGGAGATGCTTCTTGGCAACATCAGGATATGGATTTCTCTTGCGTTTACTACCAACATTTAACAGCAGCCTTTTTATGAATCCTATTTGATGTCTTGTATTCACTACACTTAAAGGGGCAAAATGCAACAGTTCAAATTTCAGCTGGGCCTTCTGAAAACACTACAAAGTTGCTGTAGTTGACATGTGAGTCCATGAACAGAAGACTGTAAGGATTTCATCCCCATTGGATGAGGCTCCTTTTCTGAAGACATGTATTCTGTCCCTAAAGGAGAAGCCAGATATGTAGTTAAACTTTTAACTGCCATCGTTATACATTGAGGAACTGTAGCCTGTAACTCGGTTGTTTTTCCACAACTCCAGTATGTGTATCTGTATAAACTTACATGTTGCAAGAAAATGCATTTGCAACTCCTTAATGACCTACACAAATTCACACCTGCAAACTTGCTTGCAAATAATAAAATTTGAATATGAGTTAATAGCAGTAGATACTACAGAACCAGCCATAATCTGGTAAGGTCTTTTGCTTTGAATAGTGTTGTGCTTGGTGGTTGGCAAAGCCTATGTACTGAACTGCCCCAGGTTTTTTCTGCTTCAAGAGCAAGTCAGATTTTGAAGAAGCAGAATGACCCTTGGAACTCTGTCTTACGCAGTGACCTCCTCTTCCTGTGTGAACAAAAAAAGGGACCTAAATGCTATTTCTGCATCCACTTGATGTGCAAGGTTGTAAGAAATTTGCCTGGTGCTTTAGCATAAAGATACTATTTTGAATTTGGGCATAACTGCAGACACATTAACTGGAACAAAATGTTAGACAAGACAGCAACTGTGATTTGTTTGAATGCTGTTACCTTATTTGATAAAGCACAAGCAGTACAATTTAAGTATCCAAATGCTTCAGGCAATTTGTATTGCTCTTTTTGTTGCATCCTGGATCTAACTGTAATATAAGTAAATCCCTTTGCAATCAAAAGTGTAACCGATCATAATATAAAATACAAAATGTGTTTGTAAGAAAAATTCCTTGAAAAGCCCAACTGTTACCATTGGAGGCTTTACCACTACTCTGAAAAGAGTTGCCTTCCCTCCCATTTGTAGCAAGTCCTGTACACTCACAGTGCATTAACCAAATGCTAGCTAAGGTGGTCTTTTGTTTCCAGTAAAGAGGCTTTTAGCAGTAAAACAGTTGCTATGGCACTTAAAGACATGTCATTTTTCAGAGGTCTTTTAGTATTTTTAATCTGGATTTAGAATTAGAATGAATGCTCTTTTGGGTGGCTGGGGGGGTGGTGGTGTCTGCCTCAGCTCCCCACAGGGTGTATTGTCGATGTGTTTGGTCTCCAGGTGGGCCTTCCTGCCTCCCTTGTCTCAGGTTTCCTGCTCTGCTTTCGGTTACGTTTGAAGCAGAGAGAAGCAATACAGCTGACCAGGCAGTGTGGGAAAGATGAAATCATGAGACTCAAATCCCCTCCCTGATTATATATTCATAAATCATACTAAAAATCAGGGGAAAAAATAGTATTTAAGGACTAGACTGAAAAGTTACAGTTTTCCTTCTTTGCAATAACTAAATTGATCTGAACCCCACACTTTAGCTAGGAAGAGCAATGAGAAGTTTCTGTGCTATAGTCAGCAATAGCCTGAGCAGCTATGAAAGATGCAGAGTGGCTTTTTGTGAGGAGGGGTATGACAGGTGGTCTGACAATATTTTATATTGCTTTTTCTTCTGCTGCCATTTACCTGGAACAGGTCATTCCCTTCCCAAGCGCTCCTGACAAATCCATATGTTTCACTACAGGCATTTAAGAAATTCCATCATTCAGTGAATGAGAAAACACCTTTTAAAATGCTGATCTTCCCTATGAAATGATATTATTACAGGAAAATCCTTAAAGTGATCCTCCATCTGATTTTATCTCTTTTTTTCTTTTTTCTTTTTTCCCTTTTTTCTTTTTCTTTTTTTTTTTTTTTTCTTTTCCCCCTCCTCTGCAAGCCTGCTACTTGTTCTGCACTCCTTGGATACATCTATTGGTCTGTTTTGCAAGTCCTTCATGCAAGAAACATGTTACTTGTTATCCACTCTATCTTTCGGTGTACTACTCTCGGGGACAGCTACCTGTTGTGGCACGGAGGATTTGAGGGAAAGGGTCAGTATAGTGTAAGCCCCCAGCTGAAACAGCACTTTCTTCCCTCACTGCTTTTCTCTGTGTCTTGATACCAGACCTGGCCCTCTCTAGCTCCCATCCCTCAAGTTATCCTCCAAATTTCTTCCCCAAAATACCAGAAAAAGGTGTGGCCTGTCCTCTAGGAGACTTCTGGATTGTATGGTGGCTTCCTAGCCCTGCTTGGTAGGCCTGCAAGCTTCAGCCCCGACCATCCATTCGAGGTGCTGTTGGAAGTAGCAACACCTGGTAGTTACTCTCAGCCTCTCCTCCTCTTCTCCCCCCAGCACAGCAATTGAACTGCTTATTCTTTGCGGGTTGAGATGAGAGCCTTGATTTCCCTTCCCCACACCAGTCACCAGCTTCGCCCCTTCCCAAAGGTGAAAGGCTGGGGCAGTTGGGGTGATCAGTCCTCCTGCTTGCCAGTTCCTTTTCGACAGTGGCTGAATCTCTCCTTTCAGCCAAATCTAGAGGGGTGAAGGAGGAAGAGGTAGGGAGAGGAGGAGAACCAGTTCCTAGCCAAGCGCAGAACAGCGGGGAAGAATGACTGCTGAGCATGAAGTAAGCTAATGCCTGAAGTCTATAGGGCTAAATCATGCATGCAATAAAGTTTCATTTCATATCCCTGTGTGGTTACAAGACTAACCACTGTGTCTTGGCTCCAGCCACCCAACGTGGGGTCAGTGTTTGTAAAACTTAATGCCCTCCAGAGATTAAGATGGCTGAGTTCAGGAGATGTTGGGCTCTAGTGTTTTTACTCCTCCCCATTCCAAAACAAAAGAGTGAAAACAGCAATAAAAATCAAACAAGAAACTGTTCTTTGAGCTGTGAAGCTAATGAGTTCTGTGTCCCATACCCTAATGGCTCCCCTCTCCACCACAACCTTAGTACTGGCCACCTCCTCCTGTGGTACGTCCAGGAGCCCCGATTACTTACTGTGATGTGGAAGGTCACTGGGCACATGGCAGCTCAAGAACAATAATTACCTTTTTTTTCTTACAACTTGCCTTTGGTGAGGAAGTTCATGCAGATCTTCTCTCCCTCCCCCCAGCCAATTTCACGTTACTTGTACAACCTTAATAGCTTTAAGACTGTTATCTCAAAATCAGCCCATGGAATCAAAAGGGTGCAGACTAGTTGATAGCGTGATCATGTAGGCTTTGGTTTCTTTAGGATACTAGGTTATGGATTACAGATGACATTTGGCTGCAGGACTACATTTCTGATCCACGGTACTGATTGCTCTGGTGATCTGTATTTAGGAGTCTAATGACCTTTAGTGAAGTTTTCCTTTAAGTCCTGCTTCCCTGGTCTTCTGTGCAAAAGAAGGTGGCTGATGCACACAGGTGGGGTCTGGGTGCTGGAGGGGTGGGCTTTTCCCTGGTGGAGACAGGTAAGGGGTTGGGGTTCCAGTTTGGACTTGGGTCCTGCTCTGACATTATTTATATTTCTGACTGTCTGCAACCAGGAAACAGAGGAAATCCCATATGAATGTCTTCGAGGCTTTCCAGACAAGTTTTGCATACCCTATAACACCAAATAGTTTAGACTAGGATTTTCTTGCTGTTATTTAAAATTGATCCATGGTGTTTGCTACTAATCTAAACAGAACTTCATCTTTGGATCATTAGTGACTTTCATCATTGCTAGTAATAACCACCTAATTACATTATGTTAATGCCATGATTTTTCAAGGCAATTTTAAACATTGCTGGTCAATATGAAGCTGCTCTTTCTCTCTTGTTATATTGTGTTGTTATATTGTGTTTTTCACATCTTTGCTCTTGTAATTCAGATAAATCAAAACAAAAGCTTGTGATACCTGAAAGCTATCCACAGGAGATCATACACTCACAAAGATTATTTTTTACTGTCACATTTGTCTCCCTGGTGTGTGTATAACCCAAAAGTGATACAGAAACCTGAATGACACCAGTGAAGCTGGCGTTGACAGAATGTGTTTTGGATTAAGACTATGTAAACGTGTTTGAATCTATCTTTAAAAGGCCTGTAGTCAACAGAGTTCCCTCAGAGCAAAATTGGTTTCAGAGGAGAGCTACAGCCAGTTTCCCCAAAACACGTTAGATAAGTGGGATTAGGGTTTCCCAGCTACAGGAGTAACCTTTGCAGTCTAAACACAACAATAAATTTAGCATCAACAGCAATAGCAGAAACTTCATGAAGTACAGTTTTCTCTCACAAGTTTTTCTGTGATTGCTGGATGAACCTCTTGAATTTCCAGACCCATGGACCAAGCAGCCACACTTGATTTTTTGCCTTATCTTTAGAGTTGGCCCTGTGGAAAATCAACTTTTCTGTTCATAAAACCACAAGCAGGGGGCTAGTTTGCCAGCTAGCACTAATGGCACAACTGCTGAGCTCAACCACTCCTTCAAAGGAGTCTGTTCTCTAAAAGCTAGTTTCACCCATCTCTGAAGGTGTAGGTGTGGTGGCGTTAGATTTGAGCTGACCCATCCTGAAGAGAAGGCTTGTTTTTAACTTGGTTCAAAACCCTTGCTTATTGCTGGTCATTTCTTTATCTGAAGTTCAATACCAGCAGGCTGGTCACTGCTTTTATAGCTCTGCTTTCTGGCTACAAGTGGTATAAACAAAAGCACAGAAGTGATACTAGAAATGTTACTTACCAACTGCTGCTAGACTAGAACTAAAAGCAATGAAAACACCAAGAGAGAGGCAAAACATAGATCTAAAATATAATGCTTCTATTTCTGGCTGACCCACTGCATATTCTTCAGAAAATAAGTTCATTTCTCTCTGTTTCTGTCTCTTTGTATTTAAGTAATAATGGTGTTCGTTTATTCCCACTAGCAAAGTTGTAGAGACCTGTGGTTAAATGTAAAGGAGTTTTAATCACTGCTATTCTGGTAAAAGGCAAAGGAAATAGACAATCTTCCACAAATCTGTCAATCTTCTCACTTCGTTACATTTTATTAAGGGCTGAATAATGTTTAAATTGTAATGTGTAAGTAAAGAAGCTGAGTATAAAGTTTTCTTCTCATATCCACAGATAACACTTAGAAATAACCTAACTTCAAATGTCTTATGGATGAACTTGTAAGAAAAGAAAAAAAGGGATCATGGGACAAGAAAAATGACAGAATTTAAATCAGTAGTCTCTCACCTCTTACTTCAGTAGCTGCTGTGCCATTTGACCATGCTGTCCACTTATTCCTGTGTTTGCCAATTTCCTGGACTTTGCATATATAATGTCCTTGATCTGTTTGCTGGAGGCTTAGAATAAGAAATTTGTACATAGTTCCATGTTTCTCTTTAAGAAGATGAAGTCTTTGCTTGTGGAAATGATGAGTATAATTTCCATAATACTGGACAGACCCAAACTTTGTCATTTTGATCATCAGATACTCCTGGGTAGGTGATGCAGCGAAGACCCACCGCACAGCCAGCAAATTGTCTGACTTTCTTTTTTGAGAAATGTGGCAGTAAAGGGTAGCATTATCTCCCTCGGAGTATCGCACTGTTGGTCCTGGAGAGACTGTCACATTTAAAGCCTCACAAACATCTGCAAAGGAAAGAAAAGATGGTGAGCATCTTCCATGCTGTCAAAATAGCACCATAGTGTGTCCCCGCGTGCAAGTCCATAGCATGTAAACCGATGGCATCTGTTCAGTGTGCAGCAATTTAATGAGCTTTTAGAACCTGACATCTTCTGTCTCTCTGTGAATGATAAAGATGGTATGAGGCCCTTCTTCAGTAAGTCTGCTTTAGTATTCTTGCTGTCACTAATTAATAAGACAGGGCTGAAGTGGACACCCTGCTGCTGTCACAGGCCCAACATCACATAATCTTTTGTCAGTCTGAACAAGCATTAATCTAAAACTAGCTTGGAGCAAGAGCCAAGAATGTCTTTTGGAAAGCTG